TTTTGCGTTGGGATATATTCCAGCTTCTTCAAAAACTGATTTGAACGGTTGCCAAACGTCTTGCCTTGGCAACTGTTCGTGTGTCGCTCTGTTCTTCCAAAACAGTACAAGAAATTGTTTTCTGTTTGACAAATTAGGTAGCTTCCAAAATTCTGACAAGGGCTCTGGCTTTGTTTCTTATATTAAAGTCTTGAGGGATGGAAGCAGTGGTACTGGGGCGAGCAGAAGCAGCAAGAAGCGCTTCCCTTATGTTGTGATCATAGCCATCTCGACAGTACTTGCAATTATTTGTGGCTTACTTTATATGGGATGCCGATACTACTGGAAGAAGAGAAAATCGCCAGAGTCTCCTACGGAGACATCAGAAGAAGGAAATTTCTTTGAAAATTTGACTGGGAAGCCCATCCGTTTCAGTTACAAAGATCTTCAAACTGCAACTAATAACTTCTCGGTGAAGCTAGGGCAAGGAGGTTTTGGCTCGGTTTACCACGGGATTCTCCCAGATGGGACTCGACTTGCTGTGAAGAAGTTGGAAGGCATCGGTCAGGGACAGAAAGAGTTTCAAGCTGAAGTTACCATCATTGGCAGTATCCATCATCTGCACTTGGTTCGGCTCAGGGGCTTCTGCGCAGAAGGAAGCCATCGACTTCTTGCTTACGATTACATGGCAAATGGTTCTCTTGATAAATGGATTTTCAAAAAATACAACAAAGAATCCCTGTTGGATTGGGAGACAAGGTTCAATATAGCATTGTGTACAGCTAAAGGACTAGCTTATCTCCACGAAGATTGCGATTCAAAGATCGTTCACTGTGACATAAAACCTGAAAATGTTCTCCTAGACGATAATTACCTTGCCAAAGTCGCTGACTTTGGTTTGGCAAAGCTAATGACTAGGGGGCAGAGCCATGTTTTCACAACACTAAGAGGAACCCGGGGTTACCTTGCACCAGAGTGGATCAACAACTCCCCTATATCAGAGAAGATCGATGTGTATAGCTATGGAATGCTGTTGCTAGAGGTCATTGGTGGGAGAAAGAACTATGACCGGACAGAAACTTCTGAAAAGTCAAATTTTCCATCCTATGCCTTCAAGATGTTGGGAGAAGGAAAACTGAAGGATATCGTTGATACAAAGTTAGGGATAGATAAAGGCGACAAGAGGGTTGAGACAGCCATTATGGTTGCACTATGGTGCATACAGGAAGATATGTCCTTGAGACCATCGATGACTAAGGTTGTCCAGATGCTTGAAGGCCTCCTTCCTGTTCCTCAGCCTCCAACCTCCGCCGCAAGGGGATCTCAACTTTATACAGACGTCTTTAAATCAGACAACAATTCTGCAGTGTGCCTTTCAGGCCCAAGATAAAATTTGTTGAACATGAGAGACTTGTAAGATATATTCCATACATGAGTGACAAAAATAATGCCTAGTCCAGTGTATTTAGATACTATGTTTTAGTTTAGGCGCTTGTACGATGTGTTTTTCCTATGCCACATAGATTGCATTTCATTATTTGTACCTGTATCTCCATATTCAACAAATCTAACTTTGCTCACATGGTTAGAGATTTGCTTTGAGGAATTAAGAGACCACATTTTACCATGCACTTCTCTAATTGAGATATGCACACCAATATGGTCATTAATCTCACGCATAGACAAGCTACTGCAAATTAACAAGTACATATAGTGCATAATAGAAATTAAATGGGAAAGAAGATGGAGGAATTAAATGGGAAACTAAGGAGTACCTAACTTAGTGTTGATGCTTTGTGAGCACATCGGAAATAATTGAACACACCGTTAGTATGAGTATGATGATAATAATATTGGTAATGACAGAAATAGTTGTCCAAGGCGTGTGGAAATATTTTTGCTTCAGATTTGCCTTCCATTTGTTCCACGGCTTTTGTTAGTAGTTGTTTAGCTCCTTTGGAAGAGTAGCAAAATAAAATCTTTCTTTGTCCAACACAACACCTTTGCCAAGGTTGTTAACCAGAGTAGACACCTCATTTTTGTCACCAAGCATATTTTCAACAATTATGTGGGTTAGATCTTCACCGACTCCTCTTTACCTTAACAACTAATTGTCTAACCCACTAACGTTATTGTTGTACTAAAGTTTTTTCATGTGGTCAGATGCATAAGAGTAGAAAATATAATGCTAATTATTTTCAGGAACAAGAGGAAAATCTTCGTAAGAGAACGTACGGTACATAAGAAAGCTTTCGTATTATACATACTGATGTGAAAGTTTGTCCATATATAGTTGTGTCTTTTGCAATGGGTCTAGCTACCTGCATGTGAAATTCTAACAACTCTTTTGACAGAATACTTTATAGATGAGAAATTAAGCAGAAATAAGCACAAACCCTAAAACAAACCGTACAGCTCTTATTAGCAACGGGGTTTACAAATGTCTACAATACAAAGATGAATCTCACTACGGACAAACCAGACAAACAAATAAAACAAGCAAATACTACGTAAAGGATAGGGAAAAAATGGCGAATTAAGGATTGATACTTAATTAATGACAGAGATAATAGAACACGCTGTTTGTATGATAGTGAGTTCGATGAGAAAACCAGCTGCAAAGACAGAAATCATTGCCCAACGTGTGTTCAAATACTTTTGTTTCAAGCTTGCCTTTATTTTTGACCAAGAGAAATGGGGAAGAAAATGGATTGTTGCTATTGCGAATGACTCCAGAGTCGAGAAGTTCTTTCTGCTTTCTGAGAGTGGGTAACGATATGGGCGTACGTTGATGGGTTATGTATTGGGAAGCAGGGGTATTTTATGGTTGACTTGACTCTGAGGTGGGAGTCTGAGAAGAGTGGTGAAAAGGTGGGAGTATTGATAAAAGGAATAGTATTGCGGGATGGATATTAGTGGGTGGGTTAAAAAAAGGGACAAGGATTGTCTACCCTCTTATTTTTGGTGCCCTTCCATGCTCTCCTGTTTTGTGTGGTCACGATTAAATCACGTTAATATTTTATATTATTTTTTTATAGAAATAATAAGATAAAAGTAAATAGTAATATAAAATGTTGACGTGGCTTAACCGTGACCACACAAACAGGAGGGCATGGAAGGGCACCAAAAATAAGAGGGTAGACAATCCTTGTCCTAAAAAAAGAGGTGTCGGTGGGAAAAAGGTGTGGTGTGGTAATCATTGTCGTTGGACAAGACTGTGGTGGGGTAGTGAGGTTGTTAGGAGCAAGGAAGAAAATATCGGTAATATCGGAAATATTGGTAGTCCGAAAACACGGAAATATCGATGGAAATATCGGGATAATATCGATATCGATAAAAATTACATGGAAACCACAGAAATTGTAAGAAAAACTTGGAAATTTTTATTGAAACTTTGCAGGATGTTTATTTAGTCAATTATCTATTAGTTTATCACAAAAAATTGGAAGGAAATGCATTGCATGATGGATTTAACATTATCAAGTTGATTATATAGCGAGCTGACAAACATTGTGACTATAGAAAATATGTAGAAATTAATGAAAGAAGTCTAAACACACCATAATCATTTATATATAATGAATTAGTACAATATTTTACACTTTATACATTGCATGGTAAGATACATGAGTGGCTTAGTACCACATAGAGTTCCTATGAGGTTCAAAATTTTCAATATCTTCATCATCTCTATGTGTAGAGTGAGTGTATTTTGAAGAGTAGTTACCAACTATGGCAATGGTTTTCAAGAACCAAAACCCAAAAGTCAATAGGAAACCGAATACTTCGGTATTTTTCGGGATTACCAAACAAATGGGATTTGGAAACCAATCCCATATCAAAAATTTCGGTATTTTTCGGGATGGGATTCCCGAACTTCAGGATGGTTTTGGTTTGGGATTTTTCGGTTTGGGTTTGGGACTTTTTCGGTTTGGTTTGGGATTTTCCGGAATTTTTTCCAGCCCTTGACCAAATAAAAAATAGAAAAATTAAAAACCACTTGCCATTGACTAAGTAATTAATTGACACAATTTAAAATATAATACCACAAAAAATTTGGAATATGTGCAAATTTGTTTCTTGTAAAAATAAACCATATATATAAATATTGTAGCTTATTATCATAACAACATAAGTGGTACAGTGCTTAAGGCCTTAAGAAGTTAAGGGGGAGGGGTTCGAACCCCTTTATGCTCAAAACCGAGTCTTTTCCAAATTTTAAGGAATTTTTGGACTAATATCGCGATATTTTAACTAATATCGCGATATTATAAGAAATATCGAGATATATCGCGATAATATCGATAATATCGCGATATTTTGAAGAAAATTCATTGGATACTTCTAAAAATATCGGTAAGTCAAAAAAACGAAAATATTTCGCCGATATTTTCGATATTTAAATCCATGGTTAGGAGGAGACGTGGGCGGTGGAGAAAAATGGGAGTTGTTGGTGGGATAATCGGCTGTAAGTGGAGGTGGGGAATATTGAGGTTTAAATTGGGCTAGGTTGCATGGGTGCAATGAGGGTTGGGCTGTAATGAGGCCTTGTAGGGTATAGGTTTTGTCATTCATTGTGAAAAGCATTGTTTTGTTTCTGAAATGCCACCCAATGTACCCGAGTGACTCGAGCCATTCAGCATCCAAAATCAGTTCATAGCCTGGGATATTTAAGAGGAGAAATGAACCAATATGAGTGTGATCTTGTAGGTGTATGGTGACATTGTGGGCTCTCATGCTGGCATGGACTTTTTGGTGGGAAGCTGTAGTGAAATGGACTGGTGGAATATCCTTTTAACACACATAATCCATCATTTATATAGGAACACGTGGTATACTATCTAATGTGACGGTCACACTGAAGAACCTCTGAATGAAAAGCTATTTTTTGGCTGATCCCACTTTAAACTTGACTACTGCCTGGTGTAACTCTGTGATGCTCATTTTCTATTTACCCATGTTAAGTTTGAGTTATTACAGGTATGCCATCATTTTTACAAAGTATATATTACTGAATATTATATATTTTTCTTTCCTTCGTTCTCCCTTCTCCTATCTCCGTTCCTCAGCTAATGACGACGGCCAGATATTTCCGTTCGAAAGCCGACGAATCGGACCTCACCGTTTCACCAATCGTCTCCCTTTCATCTTAGGAACAAGAAAACCAGTCGCATGCCTCGATTCGTTAGGGTTTCGACGAGGATTTTCGAAAACTCCTCAGAGTTTTCCGACATTTTTGTGACGATTCCGGCGAAGATCGGCGTCGAGGTTGGTCTCAAGCTATTCCTCAGAACCTCAGGTACCTTCTGCATCTATTGCACTCAAAGATCTGCTTCAATTTTTTGATTTAATATAATTGGGTTTTAGTTAATTTTTCGTGGATTTTTTTCCTTTAAATTTCTGGGTTGTGCACAAGTTTTCGTTAAATTTGTACCTTTTTTTTGTGTGATTTTATCTGAAAGTTATGGTTGCCTTGAAGGATGGTAAGCCCCCTCACTCTCCTCTTTCTCTCTCTCTCTACATTTTGTGTAGATTATATTTTGTTTGATTGCAGAGTTTTTGGTTCTTAAAAATCTCCAATGTATTTTATTTGGTTTCCTCTTAATTTTATTTATTATTGAATGTTGCCTAAAAATCTATGAAGGGTTCGTTTGCTCTTTTGATCGTGGACTAAAAGATTTGAATGAATTATGATAATCTCTTTAACTTTAACTAGCTTCAAATAGAAGCTCTGAGTTTTCATTTCTACGGAAGCATGGCGGAAAACTATCCCCAAAAGATCTGTATTTTAATAGTTAAATTCATTGTGGACCCTGTAATACGAGTTTCAAACGCTTCATAGATAGCATTGCAACTTCCAGATCATGCTGAAAGCAGAAAGTGCTTTTGGTTCATATTAAAGCAGTTGATAAAGTTGTTCTTCTTGCTTGATATTTAATTCGAATTTTGATCTTCGACAAATTCCCAGAATATTAATACATGTTTTTCATTACTCTTTATTAAGAGTACCCTTTTGTGCATATAATTCATCAGCAGATCTCAATCAAAGTTGTATATGATTTGGGGAGGGAAGTGGTTGCAGGTGATGGGGGTGGGAGGGTGGGCACCGGGGCGGGATTTGGGGAAGATGATCTGGGTTTTGCTTTTTTTTTTTTTTTTTAATAACTTTTCTTTAAATAATTATTTTTTTTGAATTTTGAATTTCCACATGGACCCTTAATGACATGTGGCGTCCAGTCATTGTCCACATAAACGCCACGTCATCAATTAACGGAAGACTTAACAGCCAGACTAACGGATGTATGAGACTGTTCCAAAATTAACACTTTAATTATGATTCTGGGACGAAAAAAACTTCATGTACCAATTGTTGAAAATCAAGAAACCCTCACGACTATAGAATGTTACAAACCTTTGAAATTCTTCACAATTATCCAGTAATGTAGAACAGAAGCCACCAAATTCTTATGAAATATACATTTTCTTTTCTGTTCTTTCATCTCATGATGGTATTAGATATGTTTGGGTTATGAGTTCATCATATATTTTTGTTGAACATTTGCCAGAATTATATATCTGGAGGGGGAGAAACATTTGTACAGCCAGTCACCTTCAACCCTAATCTTAATTTATATAACTTGGTGCATACCATCCTTCCCTTCCCTTTTCATGCAGCAAAATAGTGGAAATGTTGGAGGTGTCTGGTCTTTTCATTTCATTGGTCTGGTGCTTAAGTTTGCAGCTTCCTAGGACATAAGATATCCTTACTACTCACTTCGTAATCCACGGCTTCAATGAATCCACTATTTTTCTCACTGTTTTTGCTTATTGTGGAATTTGGGTTCTTTTTTTTTTGGGTGATTTTTATTGGTTAATTGGTTTTGTTGCAGGTTAGAGCGGTCAAGGTTCAAAAGATATTGGTAGAACTCAGACCGGTGTGTTATGCTTACTGCTCTAACTGTTTCACTTACAATTTTAATAAGCATCTTTTGCTGAATTTACTTTTGATTATCTTTTTTATGGAATTCAAAATTTGAGTTGATTAAAATTGGTAATTTGTTTTGATTTGTTGTCATATAGTTGATTAGTTGGTAATTAAATGCAAATATTTTGCTTTAACTTTTTAAGAATCCAGATATTTTCCAAATCACAATCTGATTTGGATTGCATATAGTCGTACATGTAATAAATGAAATTTCAACAAGTAATGTTGGTGATAAAATAGACGATTTATAAATTATTTGACAATCCTGACCTAAGATGTGGGTTTAATTGGGTTTCCTTTTGTTTGTTTGTTGATGGCACCAAGTTGTGGTTTTTGCTTGGTTCATTGTTTGGGTTATAATATGAACTTGAAAGGTGTAATGTTAAAAAATGTACACCCCATTTACAGGAAAACGAAGAAGAAAGAAGAGTGAAATACTTAGTGGCAATAGAGAACAACGTCAAAAGTAACCAAGATACCTTTTCTATGTAAAATATTCTACAAACATCTTTTTTTTCCCATATTGAACATATGTAATAGATTTTGATAAATTTACTATATTTCACACATTTAATCTGTTTTAAAACCTGCGGCATTGTGCTGGCTAAATTGCTAGTTAAGTCTATTTGAAGCGAAAAATATACAAACTTTTGAGAACCGAAATTAAGGTTGGGAGATATTTGAAGGGAGAATGCGATAAAGGAAAGAATAGGGAAATTAAAGGAAAGAACAAAATTTTGTGAGCTTTCCTACTTTTTGTGTTAATATATAATTTAGGTTGGGTTTTTCAATAAGATTTGGTCACTTGGGCTGCCTGAATTTGAAATTGGTGAGCACTACATTAAAAATTGATGAGACAGTCAAATGAAACTCATGAATCTCACCGTGGCCTTCTTTCCCATGGTGAAAAGCTACAATGAGACTTTTCCTCAACATATTATTTATTTTATTTTAAGTACAATGGAGACATATTATTTAAATTTCACGCATAGACAAGCAAGTGCAAATTAAAAAATACATATAGTGCACACTAGAAATTAAATGGGAAGGAAGAGGGAGAAATTAAATGGGAAACTCAGTGTCGAGCGCATTGGGAAGAAGAACACAGCGTTTGTCTGCACAGCGAAGAAGAACATAAGGTTTGTATGAAAGTGAGTATGATGATCAAAGTAGCAGCAATTACAGAAACAGTTGTCCAAGGTGAGTGGAAATATTTTTGTCTCAGATCTCCCTTCCATTTGTTCCACGGCTTTTTGTAGTACTTGTTGAGGCCCTCTGTAAGCTTAGCATAATAGAAATGTTTTCTTTCAAACACAACCCCTTTGCCAAGGCTGTTAATCAGAGTAGACACCTCACTGTTGTCACCAAGCATGGTTTCAACAATTCCATTCTTGACAAGCAAGTCCACATCATTTGGGGTGTTGACAAAAGAATCCATGAGGATGATATAGTCAATGAAGTGGCGGGTTTCCTCAGTGCAACGGAATTGCTCAAAGGCAATAAGGTTTCGGAGTACAAGCTCCGTGTTATCATCGATCATTAGATTTGGAATTTCCAAAATCCCGTCTTTAAAACACATAGCAAATAGATTCTTGTTTGATCGCTTCTTAAACTTGATGCCAGCCTGGTGTAGTTTCGTCATGCTGGGTACAGCTAGAGTTTTGACCGACCCTCGATTGTCCCTCTCTTCCTCATCCGTTGGTAGATTTAAAGCTCTAATCAAATCAACAAAATGATCTACTTTTAAACTAGGGGAAGATTTCGAATTGTCTCTTTGCACGTATGAACTCGTTGATTCGTTGCAGAACTGGCAGGAGAGGTCAAATACTGAAGGCTTCTCCTCGGCGGCAAAGAGATCCTCAAGAACGAAAAAAGGCAGCTGATTTTCAAGCAAAAGCAAGTCAGGTAATACAGAATTTACCAACCATGGTTTGTGAAAGATGCGGTCATTGCTATCCCGCTTGATCGGATCCAAGAACCTCAATAAGAACTCAATGATGAACGCGGCATCCACAAGAATGATTCTTACAAATTCATCACTGCTCAACTCAATGGTCTGCGCATAGCAACTGCGCAATTCCGCTTCCCTGCCCTTTATTTTCGTTACATAATCTGCCAAGGGGACCTTTGTCCGATCCAAAAAATACCGCAGATACCTCCTCTTGTGTTCTTCCATGTCTTTTAAGCCTTCCTTGCCGTGGTGAAGCGGACCTATAGAGACTACTTGAGGTGTGTAGGCCTTTTCATTTACACGCCGTAGTTCTTCAGGAATTCTGAAGATACAACCCAAATTGGACAACGGAGGCAAGCCCTCTAACTCCTCACTCATTGAATTTGCTAACGGAATGCAAGGGTTTTCGATGTCTTCTGGATCTTCCCTGATTTCTTCCATTTATTGCTGATGTGTTTGTTGTTGCAAATCGTAATTGCTGACAACAAGATGATGATCACTGACACATCAATAAACAATTCTTCGCTAACAGAGAAGTTAATCCAAGCATTGAGAAAACATGACAACAATCAAATCCAATCTAGATAATAGAGAAAATTATTAATCCAAGAAATGCAAATACGTACACCCGAAAAAGTTAAATTTTGTTTTATATATTTGTGAGGAGGAGCGCGTTTAGTCAAATTGGATTAATTTCTTCTATCCACCTTCTTATATTTGGTTTTAATCAATGTGGGATGAGAGAAAAATATAGAGCAAAATACTAGTATCTGCAAATAATAAGTCATAAACTTGTATTCTTGTAGTTTTTTCGTACAGTTGTCATGTCCCACCTGGAACTGAAAGAGTTTATTTTTATTTTTATTTTTAGTATTTTGATATTTTGGCAACAAAGAAAAAAAAGATAACCCAATAAACTAACAAATATTCAACAGTAAAAATAAACTAAAACTAACAAATCATTGAATTGTCCATCCATACAATTATTCGAAAACATGTCTCTATAGGCAAAAAAAAATTATTTTATGTCTCTCCAGGCAAGTGTCTAAAGAACAAAACTAATTGATTTAACAAACCAAGCTCACGTGACATTGCCGTGGTATTGTGACATAACCTTTAATTCATCACCGATTGCTCAAGTGGAGCCAAATAGAGGTTGGTGTATAAAGTTGGCTCCATACAACATCAGAGGATGTGGAGTAGGGGTGGGCAAACGGGTCCTGGGCCCGTGGATAGGGGCAGGTATTGATGGTTTGGGACGGGTACGAAGCGGGTCCATATTATTTTACATACAAAGCAGGGCGGGGTGGGTGAAGTCGTACAACTCCAAACAATGAATCAGTCATCTCCTCTGTTTGACTCAGATTTGCCTGGAAGCCGAGCTCTACTAACTGTCTTTTTCAATTTCAAGGTATTATGTTTTAGGGATTTAGGGATTTTGTTGGGTTCTTGAATCTTGACTTTTATTCTGTTCCAATTTCAAATCTTTTGTTTAATTGAATTTGAATATTCTGTTGGGTATTTTTAATTAGATTATGTAAACTGGATTTGAGTGTAAATTGGATTTGTATGTCTCTCATGGGTTTTATGAAGAAGTACTCCAACTATATGACAAAATGCGTAAACTGGGGGTTTGGGGAGATGGGTTTACATTTCCTTTGGTTATTAGGGAGTGTGCATGGTCATGTTATACATATGGGTTTTCAGAATCATCTTCATGTTGTCAACAACTTGTTGGTAATGTACGGGAAAATTGGTCATGTTATACTATGGTCTCTAGCTATGCCTTTAATTATGACTGCGATGTTTATCAGGATGAATTTAGAAGGGTTTGTGCCGAACCCTGTGACTTGGACATCATTATTGTCAAGTCATGCTCGTTGTGGCCGCCATGAAGAAACCTTTGAGTTGTTTGGTAGAATGAGGTCGGTAGGAATTGAAACTACAGCTGAATTGCTTTCTGTGGTGTTATTTGTATGTGCTAATGTAGAAAATCAGCTGTGTTGCTGTTTTTTTTTTCCTTCAATCTGTGCAGCTGCTGATGTGCTGCTATGTGATGTAATTATTCTGACTAAGCTGTGAATCTGTGCAACTGCAACTTCAATATGTGAATCTGTATAAAAATTCAGTTTTTTCCCCCTCCCGAAAAAAAAGGACCCGTGGACCTGGCCCGTTTCAAACGGACCATGTTAGGTCCGGTTCCTGTATTGAAATTTGTTGTACCCAGCCCGACCCTTTTCTTTTAAATGCTGGTCTGGTTCGGTCCCTTCAAATTTGGGCCCAGCCCAGCCTGTGCCCAACCCTAATGTGGAGAGGCATTTCACATTGGGAAAGTATACTAATAATTTAAAAATTAAAAATAAGTAATTCACTCCTAATTACATGGAGTCTTTTGATGATAGAACTCTGTAGTTGAGGTTCATTGAGCCAGATACCATTTATATATTAGACTTAAGTGGTTAATTAAAGAAAATATTAGTGCAGGTTGTACTTAATAATAGACACTTAAAAAATTGAAACATATATACACAATCAAACTATACAACTCAAAGATATTAAAATGAAAGTTGCATCATTGAAGATGATCAAATGAATTGAAAATATCAAATAACATACATTAACGGAGGATGTAGAAGAATAATGTAATCATGCTATAATAGTTAACCAGTTTCATAAATCACTAGGTCAAGTAGTGCACAAATTGATGAAATGTGATATTCATACGAGAAACCAATTCGTTCTTATGTCAAACATGAATCCTTCTTAACTTTGGCTGATGACAACAACAATTGCAAAGTGACATCAACAAGGTTACGTCATCAGGCGCGTGAAGATAGACGAACTTTCATTTAAAGGCCAATATAATTTGGGGCATGAGGCCAATAATTGTAGAACAGAGGAATGCATACTACCATTCAAACATAAAATTAAAATCTTCCAGAAACAAAGAATACATACCTCTGTTTAGTTTTGTTTCTTCTCCCTTGATTCGTTCAAAGACTAGAAATAATAAACACATTACACGAGTGTGTAAGGAAAGAAAAGGCGTACGTAGAAATCACTTCATAACATATATGTAAAGGGACCAGGGTCCTCTCATGAGCTAAGGATGAGGATCCTCCTCATCAAGGGATGTGGGCCGTTGGATGAAAAATCCAACGGCTACAATTATTATAACTTTAAAGGGACCCCCTGTTTGTAGCCGTTGGATTTTCATCCAACGGCCCACACTCATTGATGAGGAGGATCCTCATCCTTAGCTCAGGAGAGGATCCTGGTCCCTTTACATATATGTTATGAAGTGATTTCTACGTATGATGGGTGACCCACTAGGAATTTCTCGTGTGAGTTCCCAGAAACAAAATCGTGAGGGTGTGGTCGGGGCCCAAAGCGGACAATATCGTGCTACGGCGGAGTCGAGCCCGAGATGTTGGTGGGGGCCCGGGCTGGGATATGACAATTTTGTATCAGAGCCAATCCCTAGTGAGGGCATGGTCGAGGCCCAAAGTGGACAAAATCGTGCTACGGTGGAGTGGAGCCCGGGATGTGGTGGGGGCCCGGGCCGAGATGTGACAATTTGGTATCAAAACCAATTCCTAGCCGGAGGTGTGCCGACGAGGACGTCGGGCCCCTAAAGGGGGTGGATTGTAAGATCTCACATCTTTTAGGAGCTCACTGGCTTCGAGTTTCATCGGAATTTCGAAGTTAAGCGAGTTCGAGCGAGAGTATTCCCATGATGGGTGACCCACTGAGAATTTCTCGTGTGAGTTCCTAGAAACATAACCGTGAGGGCGTGGTCGGGGCCCAAAGCTGACAATATCGTGCTACGGCGAAGTCAATCCCTGGGATGTGGTGGGGGCGCGGGCTTGGATGTGACAGTAAATTTTATAAAACAATTAATCCTATAATTAAGGTATTATGTGTATTTACATATTTACTACAATTTATAAATTTTAGGGTATATTTGTTATGAAAATAAAAATAAACTAACATGTAATCCATCGGACCTATCTCAACAAAAACTTAAAGTGGACGATTTCTAATTATGGCTCACAAAATTGAACTTATATTAGGTTTACTATAAAAACAAAAACAAAAAATGCTTATCTATCTTGTTATATGAGAAGAAAAAAAATACTAATACAAAAGACAAAAATGTCAAAAAGTGAACAAAAAGGAAGATGGTGGGGGGTAATAAATGCTAACAAAGTGGGGTCATTTTAAACTTTAAAACCAACTCCAACCCTCGGAGTAAGTTTCAAATTTTCCCCTCTATTCCCACCATTTCATTCCAACCCTTGTGCTAAAATAGATTAAGTGTTAGAACTAAAAAAAAAAAACATCAATTCCCCCCAAGATTTAACCCAAAATTAGTGGTGGGCCCCACGTGTGAGAGTGGAACAATGGGAGTGGACTGGACTCGCCCAGCCCAGATGCGCCCATGGCCCAGCACACGTGCACTCACCCAACCCGCCTCAACTTCGCTAGCCAACCCACGTGGGGATGTCGAGCTACTGTCGGCCCATGACATGAGTCCAACGGCTTTTTTTGGTGATCCCACGAGCATAATTCAAATGATTCTTGGAGATCCAACGATCCATTTTAATTTATTTAATTTTTAGTTTTATATTTATATATTTATTCAATTCAACGGCTGAGGTCGAATATAATCAAATTTAATGGTAAAAAAAAGATCTAAAGGCCAAAATTTAAATCCAACGGCTAAAATAATTAAAAAACATTATTTAACTCAAAATTCACTCAAAAACTCTATAAATACATATGTATTTGTTCAAACATCACACAAAACTCACTTTTCTCCTACAATTCTTCCAATTTTTCTTTCTACCATCTTCCAAAACCATTTCTTCCCATTTCCAAAACATCCACACAAATCTCTATCATGTGTTTCATATTCTTCCATAGTGTTTCATGAGTTTCATGTGTCAATTTAGTGATTTTTCAATATGTATCGGAATTTAAATATTTTTAGGTTAAAATGTTCATAAAATAAATTTAGGATAGTCTACATAATTTTTTTTAAAGTTAATTTAAAAAAAAAACCTAAATTCATTCTTTAATAATCTGGGTCTAAAATTTTAGGCCAAAAGTGTTGGAGTATAAAAAGCTGTTTCTGGATTAAAACCTAAATTTTCGTTGCTAAAAATTTTAGGTTTTACTCTAAGGGTTGGAGATGGTCTAAAAAGAAAACAATATATATATATATATATAATACGAAATTCAGCAAAAAAATAAAAATAAAAATAAAAATAAAATAAAAAGAAAAGAAGATACTATCCATATATTAGGCCTAATGGTTAATTGAAGACATTATCAGTGCATAGTTATACTTAGTAGTGGAGACTTATGAAACTTAAACATATATACACAGCCAAACCATTCAAGTCAAAGATATTAAGAAGAAGCTACATCATTCCCTTAAGGAGTAAATATGACACAAAGTTTCAAACTGATGGATATGTGCAAACATAGCAATGGAGAAGAAAAAAGCCAGACGAAAGATTATAAATTAAAAAGTGAGTTATTATTGGTACTAAAAATATGTTGTCTGACTCATTTTGAAGGGAAATTATTATTTTGAGAATGTGTGCATGATAATTTGTTGAAGTATTAATAACAATACTTCTCATCTAAAATTAAAAAAATAAATAAAAAATGTAGCGAATTCGCACCTGTTTTGTATACAGGAAAACAAGCAAGTTTGCAGGTTGATTTACCTCTTGTAGATGAATAAGAAAACTCAATACATATTACTTGCTCATCTGGTAGATTAAAAATAAACTTTCTTATAACAGTAGCACGATGATAGGCTGCCTATATATAAGCATTTCTTCTTCAATATGTTTTTGCAGAACAGGTTTAAAGGCCATATTCAATTAATGTCGTGATTGATCATCTTGCTACCTATCCTTGTCTTTCCTTAACTATAAACAAAAGTGGTTGATACTACTTCTTCAATTAATGTGGTCACAGTCTGACAGAACGTAAATTTGGAAAGTCTCGATATTGTGTTAGCCAGATTTATCTCACTTACTGTGCTCCATTTATTAGCTTCCTCATAACTTATAGAAGAAGACAAAATTCCTTCACTTATACATATAATAATTGCTGCAAGATGGGCTTGATTCACCCCTGGCCAATGTTTGTGGTGGAATGAACGAGCAACCTCAATTTGGCCTGCAAAGCCAACTATGTAAGCAAGGGTACTTTAGGCGTTTCCTATCCTCCACATTTATTATTCAGTGTTTGAAATTTCTTCGATATAAAAATTAGAAAAAGATACGGAAGGGGGATGAAGTATAAACTTCAGAAGATATTAGAGAAATTCTTAAATAAAATCGACAGTTTTTATCGGTATTTTCGTCATATAGGTTAAATATCGACGAACTCCCATATGATACTTCCTAAATTTTCATTCTAAATGTCCACATTTTTTAGCAAACTTCCATCAAAAGCAACCACTAACGATATCGATATTGAAGGTTGATATTTTCTATAATTTAACGTAGTACTGCTAGCGTTAGATTAATTCAACCAAATTACAAACAGTCAACCAGTTCCCAAGTTGTGTACAAATTGATGGAAAGTGATATTCATACAAGTAACCAATCCGTGAAGTTCATCGAGTGGTTGGAAAACTATACGTGTTGGAAGATCTTTATTTTGGGCTTTAACAATCAATAACAAAATGACATCATCAAGATTACGTCATCTGGCAATAATGGTCCATTCACGTGGAGATGGAGGAACTTTCATTTAGTGGACGTATATAATTGAGGGCCATGACCTATGAGGCCATTAATTATAGAACAGAGGCATACAAACTACCATTCAAACATAAAAAACTAAAATCTTCAAGAAACAAAATATGCATCCCTCTTTTCTTCTGTTTCTTCTATTTTGAATCGGTCCAAAGATTAGAAACAATAAGCATGAGTATTCCTACAATCAAGGAATAACGTTACTTATTTTATTAATTTAATCAAAAAATTAATTTGATAAAAAGGTTACAATAAAATAAAGTTGAATTACAATCATCATACATGTTTTAATAAAGTGGACTATTTCTAATAAGGCATACAAAAAATGGACTTATATTAAAGAATATTCAATTTTGT